TCTGTCCATCATAGATGGACACTGGCTATAGTGGAACAAGTTATAAAAGGTATGGGTCCAATTCACTGAGACACTTCTATGTTAGTTGCTTCCAGATATATACACACTCCTTTAAAAACATCCATGTTGGATCAGAGCAAAGGTTCATCTAATCCAGTGTTCTATTCACACAGTGGTCAACCAGCTGCCCACAGGAAACCCACAAGACACTCAAGTTTCCCAGCAACTGGTGTACATGGGCATACAGCCTCTGAGACTGAAGGTTGCATATGGTACCAGAACTAGTAATCATTGATAGCTTTGTCCTCCATGAATTTATCCAATCTCCTTTTGAAGCCAACCAGACTGGTGGCCATCGCTACTTCTCCCATAAAACAAGTGAAACAAGATCAAGATGTTTGAACTTTCTGTTTCAAATGCTTTTTGCAGTTTGTCAGGGGGCTATCTAAATAAACACAAATAACTAGCTGCATGTATAAACCAGAACTGATGAACAAGCAGGGAATTCAAGTTCACCCTAGGTCTACCAAATTTTAAAATGGTAAAAAAGTTTGTCCAGTTTCAACTGTAAGAAAGAGAAAAATATTTTAGCCAATTGTAAAATAGAGATATTTCATATGTATTTTTTCTATATGTATTATGTCTGTAACATGAATAGTTACTTGGTAGCAATCTCAAAAGAAATCAAGGACATGACATACCATTAGATTTACTGGTGGTTTTATTTTTGTTATGCTGGGGAAATAGCTCAAATGCAGAATACAGGACTGATAGTTCATGTATGAATGGCTGTTTATGTGACTATCTCCACAGGCATAGTGGTAAATTTTAACAAGTGGACACTCACCATAACAGTCCCTATAACCACACCTCTAGGCAAAACCTCAGTTTGGTATGCCAAACTATACTGACAAACCAGTTCTCTGTCTGGAGCATAGTTCTGTTAAACTATTGGGACTTAAATGCCCATTCAAGGCTAGACCAGCACAGAATACTTTACATTACAAAAGAGATAAAATGAATCGTTACTGAGAAATTTTATCCTTTCGCTACTCTTAGAATTGCAACTAAGGGGAAAAGGAACAGAGAATTCTAAAGAAGTGTCAATGCCAGGTCCCTTAAAGTCCTGGTTTTACTGCACCATTACAACTTACAACTAGATGATGAACTCCCCTTTGACTGATGAAAGACTTAAAGGGGATGGAATATCGTTTATATGTTCAAGATGACAAATTTGGCATGTGTTAGGAATGGGATAGTGGTTTTTAGGAAGATTCAGATGTTTCATAAATTCCCTCTAGTAAGATGTGAAACAGAAACCTAAAATATGTTAAGTATAACTTGGCTTGCTCATAAAATTGATCACTCTGAGGTAAAGACTATTACAATTTACTGAGCTTCCTTTTTAAAGTTTTTAAATATGCTGATAATTTTACAAGCAAACCAAGCTCAACATAATACAACTTTAGGAAGTTTGCTTTATGTTCCTACAGCAGCCCCACCAACCTGGTACCCTGCAAATGTTTTGAACTACAGTATTTGGCATTCTTAGTCATTGCCCATGTTGTGTTAGGATGAAAACTGAAATGCAAAATATCTGGAGGGCACCCATTTGGGTAGGCTATGCTAAAGCAACAATGTGACTTTAGAACTGTAAAGAAAGTTTTTTTTTTAAATCACTGTTAAAATTTCCACTTTTCTGGAAAAAAAGTGCTTTTTCTCATGGCTTCAAAATGTCTGGAAATCCTAGATCACTACCTCTGATCCTACTCATCACAGAATGATGATTGTAAACTTCTATGTTTATGACCACAATGCTAGGAATGTACTGTAGCCAAGCTTAGTGATTGCTGGGCTGGTGGCGCCAAGGACAGATGTCCATAAGATAATTAACACTGAATTATGGTTGCATTATAATCATCTTTAGTCTTGCAAGCAAATACGAAGCCTCCTAAAATTATTTCAAGTGACTTTACACAATTTAAATAACCACTTGATCTGTTTTTTTTATCATGGTGTCTGAAGGAGGGAAGTCATAAAAAAAACAACACAACACAACGGAACACTTCTGTGTTCAAGCAATAGGAAGATCAGATTAGTCTTGTCAATACAGACTAAAGAAAAATTAAAATTATGATTGGGAAATGGGATAAATTATCACATATATCAGTACTCCAGAGGTAAACATGATATATACATGATATATGTAGTGTCTCGGTATCTAACATGACCCAGACACTACAAACAACTTCTGACGCCTTTCTTTGAGAACCTTCTCAGTGTTATGGGATGCTCTCCCCACTGAAGTCTACCTACAGCCAACACTGTCATCTTTTTAGCGCCAGGTTAAGGCTGCACTCTACTCCCAGGCATTTGATGGTATATGATGGAAGATTTATACCAGTTGTTTTTATCAGCTCCAGTATATTACCGTAATTGTTTCAACTGTTTAAATTGCTTTTAAATGATCATGAAGATTTTTACATGTTTTAATTATCTTGTATTTATAGCCTGTAGTTTTTGTGAACTGCCCCAAGAGATTCCACTATTGGGAAGGATAGAAATTAAAGTTATTAATAATAACACCAACAATGATAAATCTTGAATCCTCTCCAGTAGTCAGCAGGAGGAAGAATCTGTCAGCAGGCCAAGAATGACAAACAACTGTTTCATGTTCTTTTCTTTGTCCTTTCAATGCATTTTGAACATGGCTAGCCATGAGCAGCAAAGGAAACTATCAGAACCACCAATGGGGCAGGCAGGCACATTTAGGTAGAATTCCTTGAAGAATATAGCAAGAGTGAAGGAAAACTGGAGCAGGAGGACATGTATTGAGTGAAAGGAAGAGTGGACACAGAAGCTAGCATGGAAACATGATCTAGTCTTGCAGCGGAGAAAGCTTCAGGTTCCTGCACACCCCAAACAAGAAATGGGGAGGGGGGGAGCCACATAAGTAAGTAAGCAAGCCACTCTACCAATGTTACCCTCTAAAGAAGATTCAAATTATTCTCACAGGGGATATATAGTTTGGCTAATATATATAAACACTTCAGCAAAACATAATTGTTTGTACTCCATGAAATTATTCAGTGCTTAAACAAACAGGAAATCTGGATTTGTATATGAGAAAAAATTAGGCTGAGGTGCTGTTGATCCAGGCAATGAGTTTCATAAATAGATGTCTCATGATGATACAAAAAATACAAGTTACATTGCACTCACTATACCCTTTCAGGCTTTCTTTCTTTTTTATTAAGCACTTGGCACTGATTTCATCTGGAGAGAAAAAAAGTTACTCTTTGGACAAGCACTAGTGGAAGGTAAGCATTTCAAGTTATTTGGCCTGAGCCACTAAAGATTTCAGCTGGAAACAGAGATAACTCATTTCCACAACGGAATGTTTTAAACCTTATCTGCTGGCACAGCATGTGGAATTGAACTAAAGGCACAAGTGGAAATAAGGTGCTGGAAATCTATTTAGAGCTTCATGAGAGGGTGGAGGATATTTCCTCATTGGATTCTAAGAATGTAACACGAGCAAATTTTGTATTGCCATTTTCAGTTCTGTGCCTGCACACACCCCTTCTGCCCAACCACACCACTTCCCCAGGGAATGGAAAAGGTCTTTCCTTAGACAATTCCAACAGCTGAATCACAGAAGGAACACAGCAAGAGACAGATGTAAACTGAATGGAGTGCAAGTGAATCGTTGCTGACTAAAGTAAAATCAATTCTGATAAAAAACTGTTGTGACCCTTCAGAAAGGTTTGGCATTCGACCGTAAGATTTAAAGGAAGACACCATGTAGTAATTTGACTGAGAACTTTGTAATTAATAACAATGAAAGTGAAATGCCATTCATTTTGTATTTATGGCTAGATCCCATCCAACCCAGACCTTAGAAAGAGAGCTGGGATTCTGCAGAAACCACCTGAAGATAAGGAGGTTTCACTTGGTGCCCGAAATATATTTAACTTATTGCAATACTAATGAAACGCTAAGTGGTCCATTTTCCCACTTAATAGCAAACTTTTCAAACAGTAACACAGACCTGGCTTACATATGAAGCTTGTAAATAAGGTAGATAAAAATAAGATTTTTAAAAATTTACACTAATTTTTTTAAGATCATCATGAAATATGGATTTTTTACATTTAAAAAATACATGGTTATAATTAAATCTCAATGATACTAAACCCACGATACTTATGTGATATTTGTGCTCTCATAAAACTGAATTTGCATGCCAATCAAGTACAAGCATTAATTTCAATTTTTCATTTCATGGAAGTGGCTCTGCCCAGCCTAACTAGCAACTCTTGTACTTTCACAATTCCAAACTTTTAGTTTCTCTGACCCAAGTAAAACATGCAAAAGCCAGACAGGACTATTGCTCATTGTTTATCTGATAGAGATGGTAGGCCAAGCAAGGCTGAGGAGCTGGTTCTGACAGAAAGGAATTTAGCAAATGGTGAATAAATATAAATGCAAAAGTTTGATTTTTAAACGTTTACTCATTTTTCTTCCTAGTATCAAACTTTGCTTTGACATATCCGTCATTTCAGTTTTGCTGAAATGATTTCTGGGAGGCAAAGGTTGAGCCATGGCAGTGGGGCTGTTCACATGACACAACGGCCCACTATAGGTGACTTAGCCCATGATGAAGCTGCAGTGCGCAGAAGGTGCATACAGCTGTCATTCAGAATACACACTCCAAGTGTAGAGGGCTGGCTCACATGACAGCAGCAAAGAGAATAAGCCACAACTGTTTATTAATGGCTTGTTAATCATGCTGTGATTGTGGGAACTGTGTGGAAACATTCAAACTTGTGACTCCCCAGAAGTGGACTGCAGCATTACAGCCATCTCTGTAACTGCACTGTGCTGTATATGTAAGCCAGCCTACATGGGGATCCTAACTGGGTTAAATATTAATTATATAAGGAGAAGTGAAAAGATTTGTGAAGTTGTTCAAATAAATTTTAGAGGCAAGAACTTACCACAGTGGGGTTACCGCTGCTTATCAACTGGCTGACTTCATGAAAAATGCTCTTGCATTCAATTGATTTGTCTAAGGACCCCCGTTTCACTATTACTGCTACCGCTAATAATATCTGCTCTCGCACATACTTCTGGAGGCTGCAAATATAATTATAATTATTAATATTATATATACACTCTCACACATATATTCAGCATCAACATTGACCAAGACAACATTCCTACTGTTTACAAGGCAAAAAACTTTCATTGCATTGTTTTTAAGAGTACAGGAACAGACTTGGGAAAATTCTATCCATGCCACAGCATCTTGGTCTGCTACTGCTTTAAGTAACAACAGCGTTAACCCATTATTAACTGCAGATTATTAAATAAATTTCTTCAAAGACATTACAAGAATGACCAACTTCTTTGGAGCTTCAGGCCAGGATTACACATTCATGGTTCACATGACTACAATTACTAGCAGAGACAGCTTCTACCTGGCTGTATTAAGTTCTAGTGGTTTTACTGTCTCCTTATTAGCATCAAGAATAAGAAGTTAGGCCTGTTCTCACTGATATTTGGTCATCCTTTTTGCCTATTAGTTTTCAGATTTACTTAGAAGCTTTTAGGGAGAAAAGCCTTCTGTCCCATTTCTCTGGAATTCCTTGCCTCAGCAGGTCAGGCAAGCACCAACAGTGTGTTGGTTTTGGCGTCTGCTCAAGACAGCGTTATTCCAGGAAGCCTTTCTTGATGTCGAGTCATGGTCTTAATGTTGTTTTGTTTTTAATGCATGGTTTTTATTGTTTTTATTTGTTTTATCCATGTTCTGTCCACCACAAGAGATCCTGCTTAGATGTGGAACAGTATACAAATTTTGTTAGAAATAAATTGTGATGTGCTTTTACTGGAAATCACCTTGGCAGTAATGCATTGTGATCTATAATAAAGACACCCTCTGCCATACACAGATGCAATTAATAAAGTTACAACTTTTTCTAAACACTAAAAGGTCACAAATTCTAGAAGAGGATCCGTGTACAGCTGCCTCAGAAAAATACTAGGTATTTTGTGGCTCCTTAAAGGCTAACAAATTTATTGTAACATGAGATTTCACAGGCAAGAACTTGCTTCATTACATTCACAAATTCCATTTATTTTATTTAAGTGCTCTCAGAGACTCAAAGGTGCAGTCCTAGGCATCTTTAGACATAGCTATGTTGGCTGGGGCATGCTGGGAATTGTAGGTCATTTCCTGTCTCAGCACGCATGGGATTGTACCTCTAAGGCTGCATTCCTAAACACTTACTTAAAAGTAAGCCCAATTAAATAGATTGATATTTAATTCTGAGGAACTATGCTAAGGATTGTAGTGTTACCCTGCAAGCAACACAGAGCCAGTGACTGGGAATAAGCCTCAATGAATGCACTATGATTTTTCTCCAAACAAGATCAGGCTGAACTAAGGCACTCTGCTCCTTTGGGTAAAAGAGTGCCGCCCCCCCCCCCCCCGCCAGTGTATTGCAATGTATTTGGAACCAGATGCAAGTTATGATAATGTTGTCTTAATTTAAACCTTACGTTTCTTTCACAGCATACTTCACAGTCTGCATGACTCAACAAACCTTTCTTTTTTTGTACACACAGAAGAGCAAGGACAGGTGAGAGACACACTAGGGCCTCCTCCAACTAGACTGTCCTACATCTTCTCCAGGATGAGCTACTTGCCCTGAGGGAAACCTTCTGATGAAATGTAGTTTCCTTGGTTTGTCTTTGTGATGGTAAACCAGAGTCTGGGCTTTTTCCTTCTCCTTCCCAAGCCTGTTCCTTGTGTGCAGTGCTTTCAGACTGCAAGCATGAGGGTGAGGAGTATTTTGTTACAGACCATTATAAGCTGCGCTGGGAAGCTGTGTCTGACTGATGTATGGGCTGATGTATTTTTAATTAATTAGTTGAATCAATAATGTCAATGGCTTAGCAAGTCCCTGAAAACTGTAGAAATATTAAAGTGAAACATATGTCATTACTCTGATCTCTGCAGCATTTAGATGTCAATCATCTTTTTATATGTGAATCACTGTACAGAAACTAATACCAGTAAGGGCAAAATCCTAAAATTGATTACACGGGAGTGAGTTCTTCTGAAATTAACTGGACCTGCCTTCAGGTAAATGTATTTAGAATCAAATGCCAGCAAAATCTTCAATGTCAGTAAAAGCAGATGCCACTAAAAGCATGAATTGATGCTTTTCAGTGACAGCTTTCCCTCTCCCCTCTCTCATGGCAGCTTGATTCTAATGAATAACTGTAGTTGTAGCTAGAGCTCAGAGAAATCCCGGAGGCTATGTGAGCCGTCCCGAGGCTATAAGCGATGGGACGATGGGACGGCATACAAAAACTCTTAATAAATAAATAAATAAATAAATAAATAAATAAATAAATCACAGCACACTCTTCCTCAGAGCTGAACTATAAATGTATTGTCTAGTCTCAACATATCAAAAAAATAAAAAAATGCCTATATCTGTACCTTGCTAAAAGAATACTGCAAGAAACGTCTATGGAGGAAGGAAAATACATTTTAGGGTCAAATCTGGTACACGTGCCTTTTTTGAAAACTTAAATCTCTTCAGAAGGATATGATAGTTGCAGCTGGAGAAACTACTGCTGGAATTTGGAAGTTTCAAAGAGCTGGAGAAGAAACCGTAGCAGAGAAAAAGAGAGGATAAATGAAAATCTAGGAATTATGATTCTAGTAAAGATTAAAAAAACAAGGGGAACTAGTTGCAGATAATATCAAGCCAAGGAGCATCTATCTTGTGAAGCAGTTGCCTGGTGCCCTCTGTATATGTCAGATTACAACCCTGAGAATTCCTGAAAGCACAATTCTTGGCCATGCTGTTTGGGGTGGTGCAAACTCCAGCCCAGAACATCTGGAGGGTAGCAGGTTGGGTATGACTGCTATAAAGCCCTTTTCCTGTCTGCAGTCTTTATGACTGTTTGTATCTAAAAGGCTGTTCATAAAGGAATACGTATCATCTTTCCCCTATTGCAGCCCCAGTTATCAACCTCATCCGAGTAGTGGGGAACCCTCCTAAATCATGCAGACTGCGGCACAGGAGGCTGCAGTGGGGGAAGCCTCCACCTCATTTTGGGAAATTCCTCCCTTCTACATCCCTCACTCTTCAAAAACACCTCCAAACATGATAGTGGGGGTCAACCAAAGAAAGAGCCCTTTGCAAGCAGTCTTTGCTCATGCAAGCTTTGGACTCAACCATGTGCTCTCTCTGTCTTGCCTTCCCAGTGCTCCCCAATCCCTAGACACTCTGTGGGGGGGGAGGGGCTTTCACTGACCTCATTTGCATTTTAAATTGCTTTTATTCTTTGTCTTTTATTTTTCCATTGGAAAACAAACGCAAACTATAAATTGAAGTATTTTTTAAAATCCAGGAATCTGCACAAAAGAATGAATAAAAGACTACAATTGTCAGTTTTTTTCTTTTTTCATGGGCAGAGCCTATTGGTCCTAGACAGCATCTGAGACTAAGATGCTGTAGTTCTTTTTCACCATGCTTGTAGGCAAAGCTACAAGCGCAGAAGAGGAGATCTGATTGTGGATCTTTCTCTGCTCCTAGTCACTGCAGAAATCTGTATGCTGGCTCCTTAAAATAGGATCTAAGATTGTAAGAACATGCTCAGGGAGGGAAGTAGAGATGAAGATCTGAAGGATCCTAAAGTCTCTCTGCCCCTGCCCCAGGTAAGTAAGCAAGCTAAACAAAGGCTTATCAAGCTAAAATACTTTTAAAGGAGGAAAGGGAAGCAAAAATACCTGTTGTGCTTCTGCCAGCAGCACTCATGATAAGAGGCCTTATCTCAGATCCCTCCATTTGTATAGCGGCCATTCTGTAAGAATGTGCTATATCTATACATACAGTCTTTAAGTCAGAATTTAGGTGGCAGATCACAGTAAAATAAAGATGCCTGTTTAATTATTACATTTCTATACCACCCAGTAGCTGAAGCTCTCAGGGTGGTTCAGAACCACTAGCATGCATAAGGACATAAGACGGTGCCTTATGCCAAGTCAGTCCATCAAGCCAGTTATTGCCTAATGGCAGCTGTGCAAGCTCTCTAGCAGAGACAAGCCTTCTTTATTATCTGCTACCTGATGCTTTTAACTGAGGATACCACCGAATGAACCTGCAACGTTCTACATGAAAGCACATGCTCTACCATGGAGATTTGGTCTCTTCACCAGGAACACAGAAGGCAACTCCTCCAAATGCTTTATACTTACTTTGGCCTTTGTAAGACATATGTTAAAAGGAATGTTCGTAGTGACTCAATGCTACTTTTTTCCAACAGAATCCATTCTCGTACAACTGCTTCCATTATCGCTGTGGCGGCTTGGAAAAGGACATAGTCCACTTTACTAGTTTCTGTCAGAGAGATCCAAAATTAGAAATTCATAATCCATAGCCATAAACCTAAAAGGCATTTGTTGCAAAATTCAACAAGAAAAAAATGATATAATTTAGTGTTCTTTTATTTCTGGTGGCACAGGCTTCCTTTCAGGATTAACCCACTAAAATTGACTCATAAACATATTAAAACAAAACAGTGTATTATAAACCATAAGTTTATAATCTAGAAAGCTCCCACACTAATATACCTAAAATATTATAGCAAAGTAAGGCAATATTGGCAGAATAAACCAACAGGAGAAGTTGTTTAAAAATTATAATCCAAAATTAAAGCTAGTAGTAATTCAATGATGGATGTGCTCATTAGCTAAAAGTAGTTTAGAATAAATAAATCTTAAACTTATCTCATTTTAGATATACATGTCAGGGTCATAAGGACACATGCTAAAAAAATTTAGCAACTATTTTTCCAAACAAAATAAAGTTATTACCACCCTGTTATGGCATTTTTATTTCCCCTAATCAGGCAGATCAGATCAGGCAGTCATTTGCAATCTTATGTAAGTTTAGACAGAAAACAGGCCTTGTGGGACTTTTTCTTGTCTAAATTTGCAGAGGACTGTGCCTTTGAAGGAGGATCCACAAATTTGGGGGATTTATTTATTTATTTTAGTCACAACCACATAGCAACTCACATAAGTGAGGTGGGGAAGTTGCTGCTGTGTCCTATGCTCACAACCACATATTAGCATAAGGAAACACAACCATTTGAGACAGGAGACATTATACAAACAGGTCAAATGCTGTGTCTGGCTCAGAGGCTGCTGAAGCTTCTCTTCTCACTAATTTTCCTTCTAATACTCTTATTTTTGTTTACTATGCATATAAATATATATTGGCAATCTTCCAGCTGAAATACAGAAGGCTCACAAATACAAATAGAACTGATAAATCCTCCAGAAGGACAGAATCTGTCTGTTAAATAACAGATCCATCTTATGGACCCTGGATGCTGTGTCTGAGGCCATTAGATAGTTCAGATTTCAAGCTGGAAGCTGGGATATGGCACTCCCAACCTCCAAGCTGGAAATTGGAGCTCCATTTCCCTACAGAAGGAATCATGCTAGCAGTACTCTGAAATGAAAAAAGCAATGCTGGAGAGAGGGAAAAGGGGGTGGTTTGGAGGCAGAGGACAAAACAGGAGAAGCCAGGATACAAGGCACCTGACACACCTCCAACCTCATTTCCTTCCCTCCAAGTTTCTCCAGCCAGATGGGCAAAAAAAAGTTCTTCTGGTGAAAACACAAGATAGGAGGTAAAACTTTCCTCTGCTGCTCTTCCTGTTCTGTACCAAATGCCTCCAGTTCAGGGGATTAACACAAAGCCAACAGGATTGTGCCCTTTTATTACTATCTGTGGGTGTCTCCAGTTTTGCATGTCAAATAAATGGTGCTAAGACATTGAGACTCTGTCACAGTTACACCATCCTTGGGTGTCATCTTCCCCAAAGAAAACCTTGTAGTATTTATTTTGCTGAAATTTAGGTTCCAGCTGAAAGCCACTTTTATTCTCTTGAACTCTGACTTGATTATGTCTCACTGCCATTTTCCAATGCTTTTTTATCAGTTTATTAAATTGCTACTGATTTTGTTTAAGGGCAGTTCAAGTACAATTAATGGAAAATGTGCAGAGAAATACTTCAGACTAAAAACAAAGAAATAATCAGAAAAGCAATTTGTAACAAAATGTTATCATTGACTACTGGAGTAGTAACGTTTAGCTAATGCACAATTGGATAAATTGAACTGGTGTGTTGCTTAATGTAGCTGACAGGAATGAAATCCTCTGGTTCTTCATATCAAAGGCTGAGTGCTGAAATCTCTCTCTCTCTCTCTCTCTCTCTCTCTCTCTCTCTCTCTCTCTCTCACACACACACACACACACACACACACACACACACACACACACACTTTAACAGGCTGCTTGACCTCCTTTAGTTCAATGCCAAGCAACTGAATACTTGCATTCTCACTTACCTAAAATATGCTTGCAAACAGCAAATGGAGATTTTGATTTCCTAAATGATAAGAATATGTGCTCAGCATGCTGACGCTGTTCATTATTGACCATGGAAGGTGGTGCCTGAGGAGGAAAGAAAGTTTGCTTCTGTTTATGGAATCCAGTAAACTTGCCATTTCTAGAGAAAAGCACATGGAAGCATAAACATGAGGCTTGGATTTCATGTTTGAAAGGACAACTACACTTAACTTCAGGTATTATTATATGCTAATATACAGGCAATGGCTTACTCATCTGAAACTTCAGATTAACAGTTAAAGGATTAAGAATCCAAGATAGAATGGACTAAGAGTCATGTATTCCAACAAGCCAGGTTTATAAATACCCACCAGTCTACCCAATCCAGGCCAGCCTGTACAATTAGCAGGAAGCAGGTATGTGTCAGAAACAGCTTACTGGTCTGTGGCAGCTATCCCACACTGTCAGTGCATGGATGCTGCACATCCACACTAAGTCCTCAGACAGGAAAACAAGCTGAACTCAACTTATTGCACTGCTGAAGCCATGCCCAATGCCCTGCAGAAATTAACAGAAATTAAGGACAGAAGCAGAAGAAAAATGCCTAATATTTAGATGTGGAGGTAAGCGCCATTTGACCCAGCGAGCCATTTGAAACAGAGACCTGAAATTCACCAGTTTAGATCCAAATCCAATCAAAGTTAGCCATGCCTACTGAGACTAACAGAACACTTTAGGAGCAACAAATGACCTTGGAACTTATTAGGGTATTGTAGCAAAGACACAAAGCCAGATCATAAGATTCAAGTCCTGATCCAGTGGGGCAAAGACACCTGCATCTTTCTGATTGCTTTAATCATCAAAGACGCCAAGGGATGTTGAAAGTTTCCCAGTTTTTCTCTCCTTTTGAAAAGTTCCTGCATTCAAACTCCAAGCTGATTATTAAGATTAGGCGACTTGAGAGAGAGCGTGCTGATGGCAATGTCAGAGGGAGAAATTCAAACATACTCTGGATTACAATTTGGCTGTTTTCCAGTATTTCATTTTATAGGGCATGAAAACACATAAATCAATTTACTACTCTGAAACAGTAATGGACGTTGATACATTTAGAAAGTCAACAGCGCACTTCTGCTTCATTAATGTTATAATATATTTCATTTCACTTAGTACATTTCTATAAGGCTCAATACCCAAAGCTCGCTGAGTGCGTTAGAAAGATTAGAACCTTAAAATATAATACAGCAACAAAATATTTTAAAACATTTAATTATTAAATTTGTATAAAAGCCCCCTTTTAGCACAATGCTTTCTGGGCAGCCATTACAATAAAATTTTATACTACCTATATAATTTAACAATAAACAAGAAACCCTAGGACCCACTAAAATTCTATTACATGCGGTCAAGAAAATCAAATATAGCCACCTTCTCTACCTTTTAGACCCATAATGAATGACACTTTTTAAAGATTCAAGTCCTGATCCAGTGGGGCAAACAAACTTGCATTTTTCTTGATTGTTTTACTCATCAAATGGGCCAAGGCACGTCTAAAGCTTCAGACCCTCTTTCCCTTTTGAAAAGTTCTATCCAAAGAATTTTTTATATTGTGAGCTGCACAGAGAACCCAGACACAGGCTATTGAAGCAGCTTATAAATTCATAAAATAAATAAATAAACATTCAGGCGTTGTAAGTCAGTGTCATTCAAAAGGAGTAACTTCTCAGGGACACAAAGAGCAGAATGTTCAGGAGCAATCCACTGGCCCCTAGACAGCATCAGAGGGGTCAGAGGGGATCTGGGTCCCAACATCTGAGGTCAGACCTAGGAATCAGATCTCTAACCCTACTCCTTCGTATAAATGACCCCACTCCCTCTGTGCCAGATGCTCTCTGAGGCCAGGAAAGCTACCTCAGAGAGGGAGAAAGGGAGCATTTTAAGAGGCAGGGAGGGGAGGAGACTGAAAGATCAAGGTATAAATTATCTTAAAACCTTCCCAGCCTCCTTTCTTCTGCCTCCAAAATGCTCCAGCTAGACTGGCAAGAGTCAGTCTAGAGAAATATACAGGACAGAAAGCTGGGGAGGTGAAGACTGCCTCCACTGCTCTTCCTATTCTACATAGGAAAATGATAAAGCACTGGGTTTGGGGGCTCACAACATCATGATAGGACTGTGCCCTTAATGGACTACATCAGCCTTCCCCAACTTGGCACCTTCTTGACATTTTGCACTGTAACTCAGGGCATTTCTGACTATTGTCTATGCTAACTAGAGCTGATGGAAGTTCTCAAGGTCTTAAAAGAAGTACCCTGATTTATAGTTTACATTTTAAGTTGTAAATCATTTTAAAGGAAGGACACCAATATACTTTCACTGAGAATAAAACTAGGCTATGTGGGCAGGTTGTTAATTCACAGAAAGGTTGGCAAGCATTAAAAATGACAGCATGCAATACATAAGATGAAGGGAATGGTGCAAGGTATCTAGAGAAGGTCACAACACTATTTAATACATGTAGGGTATGATCCTATGCAATGTTTGGACAAAAAAACAATAACTTCATTTGTCTAAACATATATAAGACTGCATCCTTAAAGTCACATATTCTTATATCTGGCCAGGACAGGAGATCCAAAACTCATACACCACTGATTTAGAGATTTACACGTTTTTGTAAAGTAACCATTATTTTATTTAGATCTGGGCAACAGTTTTGAAGTACACAGATTAGAATTTTGCAGGGCTAACACCTAAAAAAAGTTGCTGGTTCCAATTATAAGCTGTGAATTGCCACATTCAAACCAAGTCCTTTCAACAGCAAACATTCCTGGATGACTTTCATTGAACCAAAGAGCTTAATGAAGAGAAATCAAAATATAGTGGTAACACATTTGCTCAAACAGGTCAACTTTGCCTTGGCAGCACTGCAACACTGCAAAACTGAAGACTCAAACTTCCAAATAATTGGGCAAAGGGTATCAGCAGGGATATACTGCCCTCTAGTGTAATACCCGCCAGTTAAAACCATGAAGACATACAGCTCAGGGACCTTCCCAATGAAGTCTGATTTACCTAAATGGTTTGATGCTGTATACAGGAGTCTCTATCCCATATAGCCATGCCTTACACTTCACTCATTCAGGCAACACTTTATCTGGTCCTACCTTCCCCTGTGGAATTCTCCTAAGCTGTTCATGTTCCATACAGCACAACCGAGTTTAAGAACTTAAACATGGGGCTGCAGCTTTTCCCTACCCAATAAACACCCAAAGCAAGACACACAGAGTCCTGTGATCACTCCCTGGAGCCTAAATTAGGACCATATGATCAAGGAAGTGGTGCTAGTAGATCTTTCATGCTCGAAGGGAGACTGAAACAGATGGACAAACTGGCATGGTGCAGTGCAATGAGGGTGGTATGACAGTCACAATACACAAGGGGATGCTTCAGTTTCCTGTACCAGCAGAAACTACCACCAGGTGACTGCGCACACAGCTAACTGAACATGCTATATTTGTACTGTGCTTGTTCTTGAAATCAGTGCACTACAGTATGTGCTATGAACAGAATCTTGTTCTACAAGCAGTAGATAATGGACTGCTCCAGAACCAAAAGGTACATCCAATTACTACAGTCACATGGAAGTAGATTTGGCTTACATAGCTGAACATATATTGTGGATTCCAGGATTTATAGTGATCAAGTCATTTCTGTCAAGAGATGTCAACTTACCAAGATTGACTCTCAACTATCTACTCTGTAATACAAGGGGGTGTACACTATTTAGTGCACCCTCTCCACTCTGCTTGACCCTGGAGAGGAACTTACAACCACACTGATTGCTTCCAAATCCAATATTATTTCCTGTTGGAAAATATTACTACTATGACTCACTGACAAACAATTCTTAACACAGCTCAGAGTTTGAACCAGTATGTTTCTTAGGAAAGAAGACTGAAAGAATTGTGAATGTCTACATTGGCAAAAGTAGTTGAGTATGTTTCATTATTACCAAAGATAATAACAGAGCACTCTACTATTTTATTAAGAGGATAAGCTAATAAAAAACAACCTACTCAAACACTCTACAATAAGAAGCAGAAGGACACTTAAGGATAAGTAAGCAAACCCTTGACAACCTTGTTATCTAGAAAAGGATGGGGAAAGGAGTCATAACAGGGCAGAGCAACAATGTTTTAAAAAATAAGACCACCATGAACTTCGGAAAGTTTTGTCTAGACGAGAGCTCTACTTAGCCAGGCCACTGTCAATAATGACATTCTCTGTTATAATGTTGCAAGGATTAATGAGAAGAAATACAAGTAGCTTCGTATAGTCAAACTGGCATACAAATAAAGAACAGTAACAATGAGGCTCACAAAACATACAAAATGATTCAACTGATACGATGTGGATAGTGTCAAAACACAGGAATTAAGATCCTAGAGATGCATGTAAAATAAATACAAGCAGAAATCCTGCTAAGGAAACTATGATTTCAAACTAGCAACAATCCCATAGTTATCAGTATTTCTATAAATAAAAATCAGCAGATGCTACCACAACAGGACTAGCTACAAGATGTTGTATTATGGGGTGCTCCTGCTCAAGAAAGCGACCATGCCTTTTCTGGGATATTCCATTCCATTGCCCATCACCACCCAAACAAAAACAATTTTGTAATCACTAAGCATGCTCATTCCTCACTGAGATATATTGTGCTTCTTCTGACCTTTAGGGAAGATTCCCCCTAATTCTTTTTAAGTTTTCCAAACCTTATGGTTTCCCCAGGAACACTGATACTCTCTCAGGTATGGAAGGTACTGTTTTGGCTACATTAGTCAAAGAATGAGTTCACTGTTATTATACAAGTTTGGGCAACTACCTCTGTATCAGGCAGATTCCAAATGCTCTTTGATGAAACTGATTGTCTCGATCTATTTCAGTTGACATTCAGGCCTAGTTTTTGAACAGAAACAGTCCTGTCTGGTGACCTATGCAGGAAAGCGATGAGGGAGTGTGACCCTTCTTGATAGTTCTGAATCTCTTTCAGGCTTTCAATACCATCAATCGCTATCTTTCTGGAACAGTTCTCTAAGTTGGGA